AGTCGGCGATAACAAGGAAATAAAACATTTGCAACAAATGTCTATTTTTATGAGTTTTTGCTGTGCCGTGCTACGGCGCTGCTACAGTGGCAGAGAGGCCGTCTATGTATGTATGTGTGTGTAAGTTTGTTCAGAAGTAAATGAACTTTGCCCCCACATTCAAACCAGTAATCGAAGAAGTTGAAAAACTGAAATTTAGGGAGCATATTTCACCTCATTTGTCACCGTTCCGTTTTAAAACCTTCGCTCATACGCGTCAGGATCTCGTATTGACCCCCAAGAAAGTGTGCAGATTTCTTTGGTAAGGAATGGTTTCGTGAACCGGAAAAGAGAGAAGGTCAAGAATTTGCAGGGATACTTTCTGTGCATGTTTGAGCTAAAGATTTCAAATTCAGTTATAGCGTACTTTTGTACTGCAAATATGGTCACGCCAAAGCCCGAAGTTGGCACTATGCCAACTCGAAAGTTGTATTGAAAACAATAGCTGAAGTCTTGCCAGTATATTCATTGTTCGTATAGAAAATTGTATATTCAAGCTGAGTTTCAATTTGCACTTCCGCCAAGACTTAGGGCATTTTAAAGATATTTGTTGCGAAGCGGCTCTTTCGCTGGCCAGACAAGCTACGAAGTTGAAACTTTGCAAAAATAATACATATTCATGTATGGTCTTAATTCAGCTTCGCAGTGGAATTCCCCGCGCGCGGATATGACAAATATCCCATTTTATTACAAACTCAAAAGCAAGTTTATTTTGTGGATTTCGTAATCCTATTCTGACTTCTTTTTAATTTGCATTTTTCCAATGAACGACCGTTCACCCGAAAAATGACCTGGTTCATGCAAAAATTGATAACCACGCGTGCTGGAAGCACCCTCAGTCCATAATGCAACAATATTCTCAGCTAACACCTTTTTCCCTACATGTAAGAAAAAGTCAAAACACATCTTGTATGAATCCAAGTGTTGAACCGCAGCTAGGAACCCTTCCTGCTGTTAAAATTTGCAATTTAAGCGTAAAGGCGCGTGATCGCACTATCGCACTACAAACCTGGGGTTAAAATTTTATATAAATTTTATTTTCCTAACATTTGGTCCATTAAAAAAATTTCATCGTCATTCGCCGACAGACACACTGTGTATGTTTTTTTTGCGCAGAGTGTAAGCATATGAAAATTATTTCCGGACTATTTTTTTTTGGTTTACGCAAAACCCTAAATTTACATTGCTTTTGCACTGGACGCATTTCTTCCTAC